GATGCTGCCCTCTACTGGTGGGAAGTGATACTGTAGCATGTGTGTTTCTGCCGATGTACAGTACACACACACACACACACACGAGTCTGTGTGAAATTTTATTAGCTTGATTGGATTCACATTAAAAATATCTGCAATGTATTTATGACCCATCAAAAATGTAATTTGACATGAACTCTGATTAAATCCAGTTACATTATTTTTTATTGCTTTGTCTACAGTAATATTTTTACTCTCATACTGACATGTAGATGTAAATAAAAAGCACATTTGGAGCCCCCGTACGTAAATTATTTTCAGTCTTATTATCAGGATGTAATCACGGTTTTGTTTATATTTTGATAAGTTATAAGTGAATTTCTGGATTATAATTAAATGTAGATTCACGTAGTCAGACAGCGCTGGAGAAAGGTCGGACCCCTTCATAATTCAGCACTAAGGAAAAAAACAAACTAAAAAGAATACTATAGAAAGGATGGATTTGCACTTATGTAAACATGTAGAGAGCCAAGAGTTGCTGCGTCCGTGCGCGCTGCCATCTTACATCTTACTACTGAAGTGTTATCATCAGGCAAATGCCACATAAAGCATGTAGGCTGCTAACTTGTTGTTTCACACATGGCGCTAAAACAAAGTTTGGAGATAGATGTGGCTATGCAAGACTTGTTTTCTCAAGCTGTAACAAGCTGGAGGCATGCTACCTTCTGAGATGGGTGGCCACAGTCTACCTGCTGCGAGTCAGACCACATGACATGTGAATCGGATTAATGGAATAAATAAGTAATAAAATGACCTGATTGTATCTCTGATTAGGGCTGCCACTAACGATTATTATTCATTGTCGACTAATCTGTCGATTATTTCTTCGATTAGTCGACTAATCATTTTAACGAAAAATGTGTTAAAATGTTGAAAAATGTCGGTCTGTTTCTCCCAAACCCCAAAATTATGTCATCTAATGTCTTGTTTCCTCCTCACGCTGAAGGGTTTTAGTTCACTGTCATGGGAGAGTGTGTAAAGCTGCCAATATTTCAACGTAAGAAGCTGCAATAGGAGTATTTTGGGGTACTTTTATAGTACTTTTCTATGAAAAATGACTCAAACTGATTAGTCAACTACTAAAATAGTCACTGATTATTTTAATAGTCGATTAGTCATCGATAAGTCGACTAATCGTGGCAACCCTATCTCTGATGTCATTACAGATATGTTAACAGAAAATCAGATAATTTAAACTGTGACACATTAAAGGAAACACCAACATAAAATGTGAGAACAGCTTCAGCTTTCTTGTCCTATCCCCAAGTCTCTGAATTGGATGGATGGAACCACAGAAATATAATCTATAATATGTTATCTCATTCTATGTCTACTTAATGAAACACCGTTCTTCTTAAAGATATTCCTAAGTTAGTGTTTTGATGATGGTGGTGGAGAGCGCCATTTAACATGCAGCTCCAAAATCTCCCACAGGTGTTCAGCTGGCTTCAGGTTTGGTGAGCGTGGAGGCAAGAGATGAGCATTGTGAAGATTCTAACTGAACTCTTACCAATACTACGTATCAGTATGGTCCTTTCACACGTCTTTTTTGTTGGTTCTTTTTTATTTTTAAGAGAAAAAAATGAAACAAATATGGAACAGAATTATCATTGCTTTATTTCCTCATATGTACGGAGGTGGATGAGGCAACGAGAGATTCCTCCGCCTGTCTGTGATGCAGTTTTGCCAGATGTTTTAGAGATGGTTGGTGTTTCTGCCCTCACGTGTGAAACACCTGTTGCACTTGTGGTAGTGTAGCCACACTTTTGGACGTTAAGTTTCCTCTGCCATTGTCATGAAGATGAGGGTTTCTGTGTGTGTGTGTGTGACAGAGAGATTGGGAATCACAAAAATGCACCATAGTCTTGATCTTATTGCAAAGTAGAAATTAAGTGGTGAGATAAAAGCGGCGGCATGCTGGTGTGGGGGTTAGCATTGTCACCTCACAGCAAGAGGGTTCCTAGAGCTCCTCTGTGCGGAGTTTGCATGTTCTCCCCGTGTCAGTGTGGGTTTCCTCCAGGTACTCCAGCTTCCTCCCACAGTCCAAAGACATGCAGGTTAATTGGTGACTCTAAATTGTCCGTAGGTGTGAATGTGAGTGTGAATGGTTGTCTGTTTGTATGCGTCATGCCAACTGCCCCCCTGCGACCCCTAACAGGATAAGCAGTAACGGAAAATGAATGAATGAGATAAAAGGTGCAAGATAATATTTACTTAGCCTTAAGATAGGAAATCTATTTTCTCAATTTTTATCCAGTCCCAAAAGCAGAAGAGGTGACGTCAGAGGTTATTCATACTGTGGTCTTTAAAAATTTAGCTGCAGGGCCTGATGAATATTGAGTGTCAGTTGCCAACCACAGTGAAGGCCACAGGATATGACTGACATAATTTTCATACTCTTAAAACTCACTGAGTGAGGCCTCATGAGCTGCACAGAAGCGTCTGTAGTACATTCTTTGCAACTGCACCTCCGCTTTTTTCTGTGTGTGTGTGTGTGTGTGTGTCCCACCACAGAACAAGGCCTGCATTGATGCTGCCAGTGGAGCTCTGGCCGATGTCCACAGTAGAGTAGAGTAGAGAAGAGTAGAGTGTGTGAGGGGCCCGGACACTGCCGGAGGGACTTTCAATGTTTCACACAGACACAAACCTTCAGTCTCCTCTTCACTCTCCTCAATGGGACTCTCAGAGGAGCATCATCACACGCTCCGAGCAAAGTTGGCTGCATTAGTGATGCAGCCGATCGTCCTGTCAGTCATTTGACCCAGATAGTATTCTGTGGTTACAGCCAGCTCTGTTGGGTGGCGATGTTGGACTCATTAAAGCATTACAGTAATATACAGTCAGTGATAGTAAACCACGACCCCGGGATGATGATGTGTAGCCTCAACAACAAACAACCAGCACTGTAAACAATAATCTGCTGTGTTTGTTTCATCTGTTCATGTCTCATCAGTTAGATTTATGACTTTCCTCTACATTCGGTTTCACATTACTATCACATAAAAATGTGTGCCAGCTGCATCTCTGTGATGCCAACCTGTAAAGTGGTGTTCAGAGTCTGTCTCAGATATATGAAGTCGCCCATATAAAGTTGAATCAGAGGTGGGTCAGCAGGTTTGAGGTGTACAGTGTTTATGTTGTTCTGGCACCACCATCGAGGTCATAATCACCATAATGGGTAAATATATAACAAGATACATTATCGTAAACAGGAAACATTTGCAGTGTGGTTTTATGTCCAGTCAGTCAGTAAATTTAAAGTGAATCATCTGATGATTCAATCTGAAAGTGATTCAAACTGCTGAGTGTATTTTGGGGTTTAAGCTTCAACTCACTAAAAGCAACAAATTCAAGCTTATAGATTTGATTTGTAGTGTTCAAATGCACCTTGTGAGACAAAGATAACCAATGTCTTTACGGTTTTACAGCAACATTATGCAAGAATTAGTATTTTTGGTGCCCCTATGGTCTCTGAGTGATACTCCACTCTCGTGAATGCAAGGTAGGCTGTAACTGTAAAGTCACACTCAGATACTTCAGAAACTACTTCATAAAACTGATTATTCCACTGGGAGTTCACACGTTCAGGTGTTGAACGAGCCCCAAACTATCAGTCATTAAAGAAAACGTAGCAAACGTTTAGCTACAGGGACACCCAGAATACTGTAACTTCTTTGACTTTGCAGCTCTGACTAATCCAAACACAAAATCAGGTGTGAATTAATCACCTTTTCTCTCACGTTGATTGCATTCATTTACAAACACAATCTTCCCGGGAGTTGAGGACCTCCAATATGGCTGCCAGAGGGTGTGTTGCATTCAATGTCCCCTCTGTCTGACTCTGCAGAACCTTTTTCTGTAAATCACGTGGGAAGCCCTGCTACATATCCCGCTGCTCCAATCCTCATTCCTATCACATCTGTATTTTCTACATCGTCTCCTTCTGCAGCAAACGCTGCACAGCTTAGCGGGGGATTTTCTCCCTAAGCTGATTTATATCAGCTGATAGCCCTGTCATGAAGCTAGGCACTGGAATGAATGGATGAATAGACAAATGAAAAAAAAGCAATGAAAGAATAGTGAGGAATGAGGAGCGGTTGTGTTAATATCCATTTGAAAGGTAATGCTCAGAGGGATTCTGGAGAGGTTTGTTCTGTCTTCACTGTGACTTCCTGTTTGATGTGAAGGGAGGAGGGTTTGGAAAGATGGAGGGATGAGCGGGAGGTAAAAGAACAGAAAGAAGGATGGATGGAGAGGAGGGAAGATGGCTGTCGAAGGTCAGAGATAGAAAGTATGAAGAAATGGGAAGGGGATGGTAGCAAAGATTTATGGAGGAAAAGAGCTGGAAGACGGGATGAGGATTAAAGGAAAGGAAGAAAGGATTGAAACAGGTGGTAGAGAAGAGGTGAGGAAAGAGGATGGAAGGAGGAGTTGGTGTTAAATGAGAAGACATCAGGTGGGATGAGAAAGTGACAAGAGCCGTATAGAGGGATTGGGAGAAAGACGAGACTGATAGGATGGAGGGATGGAGGAGAAATTGAGGAGCAGAAGTCCTATTCGATGTTATTATAGAGAGAAATGGCAGAATCCTGCTCTTTAATGGGAAACGTGAATGTGCCATGTAGCTATCAGCTTTACTGATGTGATAAATGTACAGTATCGTAACCTCGTGGCCTCTTCTGCACATTATTCCCTTGTACAAACATCCATCTGCAGGGAGTTAACAGCTGACAGGATATAGATTAAAAATTGAAATGAACGGCTGGAGTTTGGACCATTTCCCACTTTCTATCAATGTGGGAACATTTGGCCCGTATAGGGACATAATTACAAGTACTAAAGCACATCCTCTTTTTTTACCACTGAAAAAATAAATAAGGAAACACCACTGCTCAAAATATGTTGGATGCTAATTTGCAAAGTTCAGCCTAACTGATTTCTCCCACCCTCTTCCTCACTAGCTGATGACGCTGCTGCTGACTCCTCCCAACGTGCCCACGGGCAACAACGCACACAAAGATAGAGTCCACGGCCATCGCTATAGCAACAGAAGCCTGCACCTACAGCCTGTCAGACCTCTGGTCAAGGTGAGGCACGAATCACTCTGAACACCTGTCCATTAAAGGTAGATTTGGCTGGTTTACAGTCAGTTTAATGTGATTTAAAACTCTCCCTAAAACTTCCTCAGACTGAAGTGGAGCTGCAGCAGTGTGTTCTGTTGTAACCCCAGACACACATCTCTGTATTCACTGGTTAACGCCTCATTCCCTGTGTCTTCTGAAGGCGGGCGAGATAACAAAATTGGATTTTTCCAGTCACTTCCCCTCAGAGGTGACGAGTTAAGACAGAAGTAATTCGCTGTTGCATGCAGGGCCTGCAATCAGCATCAGTGCCGCTGCAGACGTTGTGCTTCAAGCAATTATTTTTTGCAGGGTAGAGTCAGATTCATACAGAGAACAGATATCAGCAATTGATTGGACATTTTGTCCAGACTGCTCACTAGAGAAAATACAGCAGGAGGTTGTTCAGATGCTTGAAATGACAAATGTTATATTTCCTCTCTTGTGCTCATACAAATAATGCCCTCTGTCTTTAAGCAGAGGTGGAGGCAGCGTGACATAGTAGGTGGATGGTTGGGTGTACTAAGTGTCTAACTTGGAGTCCAGTTGTGCTGAATTATTTAACTATGTCTACAATCTTGCCTAAACTTAAAGGGACGCCAGAATCAAAAATATGGATTTTTCCTCTTACCTGTCGTGTTCTTCATCAGTCTAGATTGTTTTGGTGTGAGTTGCCAAGTGTGGAACTAGATGGCACTCGGCTTGTGGTGCTCAAAGTGCAAAAAACAAACATTTAAGAAACTCAACAGCAATGTCTCTTTCCAGAAATTATGACACACTTACTCAAAATAATCCACAGACCTTGTTGTGAGCAGTTTCACCCACCAACTGAATCCCTGCACAGAAGGAAGCGTACATCCACTGTACACATCCAGGAAGCCATTAATATTTACATCTCAAACTTCTCTTCCATGAGTAGATGCACACTTCCTTCTGCACAGTGATATGGTTGGTGGGCGTGGTTCGATAGAAAAAGAAAATAGTTCCTACATGAAACTGCTCACAACAACGTCTGTGGATTATCTTCAGTAACCAGGTCATGAATTCTGGAAAGAGACATTGATGTTGAGTTTTTCAAGTGCAATTATTTGGTGCTTTGGTGCCATCTAGTTCTGTTATATTGGAGAGAAGACAGACATCTCTACGGCTGATATCTCCAGCACTCTGCAACTCACACCAAAACAATCCACACTGATGAACAGCACTACGGGTAAAATGTGTATTTTTGATTTTGGGGTGAACCATCCCTTTAACCAACACTAAACTTTGTCAAGTGCTCCAGGAATAAGCCCTAAAACCCAGAAATAAGTTTTGGCACCCCTTTAAATTCAACCTTCTTCCCCAGAATTTGGAGGATGCACCAGTGACGATTATATATTAAGTAAACTAAAAGTCATTACCTGAAAACGGTCCATCAGCCTGAAATATATCAAACAGCAGTGTCTCATCTCCTCAAGTATTGAATAAAATATAGCAACCAGGAAATCCTCCGCAGACCAGTCCGTCCCATTTCAGAGACTGTTGGGTTTGGCTGATGCAGTCTTCAAAGGAGGGGCCCGACGTAGACCGTAAAGGCTGCGTCCTTCCGAGACAAGACACAGCTTATAGGTTGCGGATTACAAAACTGTTGTGTCTTTGACAGGCAGTGACAAACAGTCTTATTTGTTGCACTTGTCAAAAGCTTGTGTGTGTGTGTCAGTCTTGTAAGATGTGCATCATCCTGCCTTTAAACAACATCAGTCCCACCTAAAGTCATTACATTACAGTGGATGTCTGGGGAGAGCTTCAGCATTGAGGTTTAATTATAGGCTTTTTCAGCCCCGACAAGAATAAATTATAATGGCGCTCCTGAAAAAGTGGAGGCTTCAGTACAGAAACAATAGCCTTCAGTATTGGCCTTGAAGAACTCGTATTGGGTAAACCCTGCGTCTGACAATGCTCAGATTGTTATTACACAGCATTCACAGGCACAGAAAAGCTTTCCAAAGTCCAGCCAACAGTTTTCCAGCCAGTACAACAGTTTTTATTTTCCAAATGATAGATGTCATTTTAGACTAAAAACTCTCTGAGCCTTCACACTCGCAGAGACCTTCAGCTGCGGCCCATGATAGATGTGGTGTTAGGGAAGAGAGGACATTTACAATGGCTACTGCTGTATGACTTAGCAGTAATTGGATAGCTGCTAGCATTGTGCTTCAAGTGGTCATTGATTACAACACCAGTCATTTATCTTGTACAAGCATAAAGTATGGTGAGCCTTCACACAGCCTTCTGCTCTGGCTCAAGCGAGGAGGATACAAAGTACATACAGGATGCAGTGCGGGGATAAGCCAAGCCTGTATCCATCACACACCCTCCTAACCTCGCTCTGTCGAGCTGTGTGTGTGTGTGAGCTTTAGTTTTAGAGTCGTGTGGCTTTGCCGTGGCAGATGGCAGGAGTATTGACTGACAGGGCAAGAGGGCAACAGTGAATCATAGTTAGGCTCTCTCCTCTCTCTGTATGAGCAATATAGAATCAGCCGTTTCATCGCAGCTGCACACTGATTCATCCCTCACAAAGTCGTAAGCAGAATATACTGCTGTGTGCTCAGTGTTCCTGTATCCAGGGCAGGAAATTGAAGACGCACCCATGTGTTCACGGGTCTGTTTTTCTTTTGTTTGGTGGTTCATTTTTCTTGTGCCCATGAACTACCGTTGACAGTGTGATGAGATATTTCCAGCGCAGCTTCAGTGGAGTTTGATCGAAAATGAAAAATGTTTAATCTAAAGCTGCAACAGTAAATGTCAGGGTTTAGTGTCAGCTCCTCGGAGTCAAAGACTGAGGGCTTTTCAATCTAAGGGTGCCATTTCTTATCGATGTCAGGTGACAGAAGCCAAATTAGATGATGTGTTGCATTCTCGAATGTCTACGAAATCCTTTGTTTTTTGTCCGCTAAACTCAGGAGCTTGAAAACCCCAAATTATTGTACGCTCGTTTAAAAGTTTAGGTTCTGATCAAGATGTCTGATAGAGTGACTTACCTGACAGGCCAAACTGTGTGGTTGCTGATGGTTATTTCCACATACTGTATAAAACAATTGTCATAGCCACTATGACGTCACACATTGGCTTGTGCAAAGCCTTGAATTTGGCATTTTGGCTGTTGCCATCTTTGATTTTTGGAGCCAGGATTGACCATATTTAGACAAGAGGGTGGGGATAACCCTAAAGCTAGCTGCTAACTTGGTTAGCACTGTGTACTTACAGCTATGTTTAACTGTGATAATAGTAACGCTAATGCTAATTTTCACTATCTGTACTCAGAGGAGAAACTGACCATCGTATTTTAGTAAGACTTTTTTAAGGTGACCAAAATGTTACAGTTAACTTTCGTGAGCCGAAAACACACTAAGGTAGTGACAGCTACGGATGCTCCGATACTCTGAATCTGGGCTCAGGCATGGTCACGTTACCTAAACAAAATTGTTGCTGCTGTAGCTACTTGTCAACAGTTGGTACCTACCTGCCATTTATAGTGTAGATGGTGTAACGTGACTTCAGCCAGATGGTCTGACATCATTCTGACCAAATTTGGTTATGTGAGGGGAAGCAAGTGTTCCCAGAAACTGGTTGTCTGAATTGCAGGAAATAACAGCTGAAGTAATGGAAATTACCAACAGTGCCGACAATGGTTGTTTGTCAGACACTATATATTGTCATGATATTCCAATCCTGTGGCTTTCTCTCGAGATTAAAAGACCCTCAAATGTGGAAGTCAATGTCTCGTGTATGCTACAGCATAATTGGCATTGTCGGCAGGATACATTGTTGACTCACTTTTGAAACCAGCCTCAAGTGGCCTTCAGAGGAACTGCAACTTTTGGCACTTCCATGTTGGCTTCGTTTTTTAGTCCCCAAGGTGACAATTGGTTACGTCACTCTCAGACTCTTTCTTGGCTTACCATCATAGCATTGCAGTTTTGTAGTCTAATCAACTGTTCGCAGACAAGGTTAACAAGATCAGGGTTACAGGTCTAGATTCTCACCTGTTTCCCTCCTCTCATAAATTCAGGTCTTTTCATTTGTCCATTATCTTTTTATTTGTACAGTGGCTCATAACTGCCATAAAACCAGCATCAGAGGTTGCATATGATGCCCAAGCAGGAAGGAGAAAACTCACACTGTGCTATATAACTATATATATAACCGTTTATAGATTAGACTAAATGGCCGTGGCAAAAAAAAGGAAGTGTTGGTCTGAAATATTGGTCGTTGCCCCCAGAGGCTTTGTTGTAGCCAAACTGATATTCGATGAGTTCTGAGACTTGATTGTGTGCTAAATGTGTTTGCCACGTAGAGAGCAAACAGTTTGAGGATAGAGTCTCACATTGGTATTTCTGTTTGTGTCTCCGCCCTCAGAGTGACCTCCGTCAGGAGCGGAAGCCCCGAGCGGTGCGTCCAGCAGGCCGCCTGTGCACCGAGCTCCACCGCCACCTCACCACCGCCCGGGACTCCGAGGACACCCCGGCTGCCGACACAGAGGAGGACGAAGAGGAAGAAGAGGATGAGGACAGTGAGTCGGAGGAGGATGAAGAGGAGGAAGGGGAGGAAGAAGAGGAGGAGTCTTCCAGCAGCGAGGTGGAGGGCAGGGCGGTCGTGGCTGCTGTCCCCGCTGAACCAGCCAAGCCTCAGTTCAGCTCAGAGAAAGAACTGCACTCAGTGGTGGAGTTGATCACGTACATGCACACCTACTGCCTGCCCACACGCAAGCAGCAGGGCTGGGAGCGTAAGGACCGTGACGTCCCGAGGCCTCGGGCCAGACCTGAGGCCTCCCGCCTGGCCACCACAAACTCTCACAGCAGAGTTGTCTTGGTGGCTACTCCCGGGACTAGTGGGGGCTTAACTGGGACAGGCAGCAGCATCCCCAAGAGGCTCCCCTTTGCAAGGCGAAGGGAGATGAAGGCCAACTCCCTTCTCCGTGAGCTCCTGCAGCAGAGCAGCTCCTTCGATGTGAGCAAGCCTTACAGACTGCACAGCCCTCCCTACTCCCACTCCCACAGCCCCAACAGAGTAGGAGTTTCTGCTCCTTCTGCCTCAGCTAAATCAGCCCCAACCCACTCCCCCAGCTCCACCACCCCTAAGCTAGAGCTTCGTAAAGACTCTTCCTCCCCTGAGAGGAGAAGCCTCTCCTCTGAGGCACCTCAGAGCCCAGAGGAGACAGCAGAGGACAGCGGCTCTTTCTCGGTCCGGCGCTCCCGACGCCTGGCCTCCTTCCCCAGCCGCTTCGCCAAGAGGCTGCGGCCTGCACGCGTGAGGGAAGCAGAGGGGAAGGACAAGGAGGCGAAAGAGGAGGGACAAGCAGGGGTCAAACTCCTGCCCACCCAAGCAGGAGGGGTGACGACGACGGAGACGCAGCCAGAGCAGCTAACGCCAGGTAGCGGCAGCGCTGGTACAACGGAGCAGACCAAACCTTGCTGCCACAATGGTGAGATGGGGCGGAAAGATACGGGCACCATTCACACTACAGGCTTTTATTCTCAGTTTTTATATGCTAATATCACATTTTATTTGGATGGCTAACTGTCATCCATATCTCATAGAAACTATTCAAGTTTGGCCCATTGTTTGGCTGTCTCTCCATTTTTGTCTCGTCATCCTCTGAGCTAACATGGCGCTGCCAAGCTGCTGTAACACTGACGTTCTGACAAATGTGACGGTGTGAATGATGTGGAGTTCATTTCATGTCTGTGATAAGTCACATATACTGAAGCTCGAATGTCTCACCACTAGGTTTAAAACATGATCCATGTGATCCAGAACAGAGTTTAAAAATGTGACTGATTATTAAGATCTGAGTCACATAATCAGTTAGAAAATACCAGAGAGAAGACACTCAGTCGCAGAGTAAATGTAGCCTAAGATTCGTTAAGGGAAAAATGACGGTGAAACACTTTTCTGAGCATGTAAAGTTATGCATGGTTGTAACTTGCTTTTTATTCTGATTGCAGAGAAGCGCGCCTGCCTCTGTCTGCCTCTCAACCCCAAGTCCACAGGGTGAGTTTCTCTCCTTCTGTGAGAAGTACCTGCTGTGTTTCATCATACAAGAGTGGCTTTGTAAAAGTACTCCTTCATTTTTCATGCAGCATTTTTGTCTGCAGTAGCAGAGTTAGTTCTTAATGTTGAGAATTGCAGAAGCATCTTTTCGTAAATGTCTTTTGTTCGTGGCTCTTATGGAACTTTCAGTTGATTATAATCAGTCTGTGCAGGATTCTACAGGCTTTTTTTGGGGGGGATTGTTGCGATATTAAGAGCCTGATTTACTGTAGCTTTACTAAAAAATTACAATGCATGTTTTCAGACTGTCTTTCGTAAATAAAATATTCGTTCCACTGAGGGAAATGGTTTCAGCTTACAAAAATAAACAGAAGGTCTGCATCAGCACATGTAGTTATATTTCTGGGAGCTGCATGTCAGGCTACGGCGTAGACTCTATGTCGACGATGTGCCTACGCTGTGGAAGTATGAATTCTGCCTTACAGTTTGGAACTTCATCTCCATGTGAGATATCCAACTTTGTAATTACAACCAAATAATAATCAACCATGGTGAATTACAACCAAATTCACCAAGGCTGAATTTTTAGTGTGCTAATTTTCCAGGAATCTAAAATTCGTCTTTATTTTTGCATTAAAACAAAAAAGCTTGAGCAGCCTCTGCAGAGCAGACAGGTGTAAGGTAGATGCCCCCTGGGAAATCATGCGATGACAAACATCTGCTTTGATGAAGAGAAATGTTAGACCTGGGCCTTGATGCAAACTGCTTCTTAAAATTCAGATTGCTAAATATTTGGACAGGTGCAAATATCAAACAACATCTGGTAGTTATTAAATGACTGAAGATTGTTTCTGTAAAATTTTCCATTTGGGCTCAATGTTGGGCCGGATAGAAGCCGTTAAGAGTGTCTTTGATGATAATTAACGTTGTGTTAAAGACTCTAGATAATCATCAACTCGAGCCAAAGTGGAAGATATAAACTTTAAATATGAGCTTTTATCACTCCTCTAGATGCACTGATTTGAATGCAGACTATGTAAAATTACTGTATTGTCCAAGTCCAAGCGTGCATTAGTATGCACTTAAATGTATAATAGTTAAGGCTCCTCTTCCAGGTGGAGTTTCCTCTCCTAACATCTGATGTAAATACCAAATGGTTTTGAAGCTGCTGTTCCACATTTCTGAGGAAATGCATGCAACATCATGGGAATCGTTTATTTATGAGCGCGGAGCAGAGGATTGTTTCAGCCGAACTAATCTAATGCCTGTAAACACACTAACTACTTGCGCTAATCACCTTTAATTTTTAAAATTCAGCTCTAATTGATTTGATCCTATTTGTTTTATTGTCCCAATTATATAATCTAGTGCTTGACGATGTGGTGGGAGTCCATAATTCATACATTTTCACTTCCAAGTATTGAGTGTTTGGCCCGGGGATTTGTTGTTGGCAGGGAGGGAAAGCTTCTGGAACAAAGTTAAGACTCAACTGACTGACACATAACACAATGCTAATGAACACATTTACAGCCAGTACAGCAAAGTTTGACACAACTATCCAGATCAGGCTGGACTGTAAATCTCAGATCACTATCTCCAGGCTTTAAAAAGAGAGCCTGAATCAATTTTTATGCCCCCATGCTTGTGAACGCCTCAAATGAATGTCTTCAAATTTTGCACAAGTGTCCACTTTGACTCAATGATGAGCCGATTAGATATTGGTGGACATAGGTCCAAGGTCAAGGTCACTGTGACCACATGTCTCTCATTCTATCAAATGAGATATTTCAGGAGCACCTGTAGGGAATCTCCTCAAATTAAATGGGATGTTCACTTGGACATTTGGTGGTCAAAGGTCAAGGTCAATGTCAACACGTCCATCTCATTAGCGTGAATGCAATATCTCAAGAAGGCCTTGAGGCAGTTTCCTCAAATTTAGCACAAATGCCCCACTGGACTCAAGAATGAACTGAAAAAAATCTGATGGTTGAAGTCAGAGGTCACTTTGACTTCTAGAAACCTGTTTTTGGCCATATCTCAACACTCCACTTCAACTTAACAATGAATTAATTAGATTTTGGTGGTCATACGTGAAAGGTCATGGTCACTGTAACCTTGTCTGTCTCATTCTCTTGAACACAATATCTCAAGAACACCTTAAGAGAATTTCTTCAAATTCGGCACAAACATCTGCTCGGACTCAACAATGAACTGATTATAATTTGGTTATCAAAGGTCAAGGTCACCACAACCACGTCAGTCTCATTATCATGGATGCAATATCTCAAGAAGGCCTTGATGCTGTTTACTCAAATTTGGCACAAACACCCCACTGGACTCAAGAATGAACTGAAAAAAATTGGATGGTTGAAGTCCGAGTGACTTCATGATACATGTTTTTGGCCATTACTCAACGGTGTAGGCTCTGCATAGAGCTGACGCACAAGTATAAATCCGCCTTTATATCCAAAAGTTTGAAGGTCAGCGTCACTGTGACATCATAATGTTCTGCAAAAACACCTTTCTGGCTATGACGTCATGTCTCAGGAACAGAAGGGGAGACATTTGATCAGATACTGAATTGTTGACACTAATCTTGGGTGCCCACCTCGTGCTGATTGTATAGATCTTCTTAAGTTGTGTATGAAACAGCCATGTTTTCACAGACATGGATGTAAACTGTATCTGCAACTCGACCCCTGCACAGAGGCATACATCTGTGAGGCGGTAATTCCAGTTAGAAAATGATTTGCAGTTATGTATAATCTCATAAGCCTGTATAATGTTTGGAATTTGTAACAAGATAAACCAGGCCTAAACTCAGCGATTTTATTCCAGGATCCCTAATGAATTGGAACCTCTGGCTGGCTTTCTCAGATTTTAATCTGTGCCAGACAGAGCGCCCTCACTGCTCTTACTTTTCCAAATTAACCTCCCCACCATCCAGCCTCAAATCCTGGAACTTCTCCAGCTCTAACCAGTCACAAAGCTGAATGTTTCCCTGTACAAACCGCTGGCGTGCGTCCATCTCCTAAATGAATCTGTCTTCTGAAGCGCTCACCCAAAAAAGAAAGAGTTGTGTGTTTTCTTTATTTTACTCTCCTGTTCTTTGTGGAGGGTAAGTAATATCCCGCCTGAAGCCAATCCACTCGGCACCGCTCCTGCCTTTCATGGCAACTGGAGAAACAGAAACAGACAGCCAGAAATAGAAAGCAGAAGAAGAATAGGGGAGAGGACAGCGGAGTACGTATGGTTGTTGTGATAAAAAATGAGTAGCGCCGAGAAATGCCGGTAGCATTTACAGGGGGAAACATAATTCAAATTCAGCAGACATCAGCTGAAACTGTGCCGTCTTTATTTCAGGATAGGAGGAAAGCTTTTAGTGGGAAGCCCTTCAGGGCTGGTGCTGGATTCTTGTTGATTTTGGATGTTTGAAAAATACAACAGATTCCAACATGACACAGCAGTCTCTAATTTCTCTCCTCTTTGATCTGTGTGTCTCCTCACCAGAGAGTCCCAGTACAGCACCAAGCCTTTCGAGCAGACGCTCAGTGTGGATCTGTGTGGAACGGCAGGTAAACATAGCTCATGTTTACACTATTGTTTGTTTGGATATATGATGATGTCAACAGGTTATAGCTCCAAAGATACAGTGATAAAGGACAGGGATTGTGGGACCAAATCTTATTTGGTTTGGTATCAGAAGTAACAGGAAGCCGAGATAGATTCCCTCTTGAGTTGAAGATGCTTAAAAGATGCTTCTTAAAGGAACAGTTTGACATTTAGCAGTAAGATGAGAAGATGGATACCACTCTCATATCTGGATAAAGCTGGAGCCAAGCCTGCTAGCTTAACGGGGTCAACAGCTAGTCTGGTTCTGTCTAAACCTGAGATAACAAAATGCCTACTAGCACCTCAAACGTCAGTAATTTACACATTCTATGTTATTTGTTTGGTTTGTTTAACTATTTGTAATAAAAATAAAACTGTAAAAGTATCATGATCATCAGGTTCAGGGTGTCCACTGGGTCTGAAACACCATTTTTCGGAATCCAGTCAAATTTTGTAGTTTTTTTTCCCCCAATAATTCTATTTTTCCCAACACCGTGTATGCTACAGTTTACATGAAATTAATCATTGTGCAAGTGGGATTCTGAGTTTATTTATACAATCCAATCAGATTTGACATAATCTGGTGTTAATGACATAATGACATTTTTGACAAATTGTATACTATGTCATTTTTTCATGATTTTTAACAACTTACTATACCATGACGTTTTTTCATGATTTTGGACAACAAACTATACTATGACGTTTTTTCATGATTTATGACGTTTTATTATGATTTCTGACGACATACTAAACTATGACTTTTTTTCATGATTTTGGACAACATACTATACTATGATGTTTTATTATGATTTCAGACGATAAACTTTACTAAGATGTTTCTTGATGGTTTATGACGTTTTATTATGATTTCGTACGACATACTATACTATGAATTTTTTTCATGATTTTTGACAACTAACTATACCTGGACGATTTTTATTATTTCGTACAACATACTATACTATTACTTTTTTTTCATTATTTTTGACAACTTACTATAACATGAAGTTTTGTTATGATTTCGGATGACATGCTATACTATAACTTTTTCAAGATTTTGGACAACATACTATACTATGACTTTTTTTTCATGATTTAGTACAACATACTATACTGTGATGTTTTTTCATGATTTTTGATGACATACTGTACTTAGAAGTTTTTTCTTTTTTTTTGGACGACATACTATACTACGACTTTTTTTCATGATTTCGGATGACATACTATACTATGACTTTTTTACATTGTTTCGGACAACATACTATTCTATGACGTTTTTTCATGATTTTGGACAACATACTATACTATGACTTTTTTTTCATGATTTCTGACGACATACTGTACTATGACTTTTTTTTCATGATTTCGGACGACATGCTTATAGTATGTCGTTTTTTTCATGATTTTGGACAACATACTATACTATGACTTTTTTTCATGATTTTGGACGACATACTATACTATGACTTTTTTTCATGATTTGGGACGACATACTATACTATGACTTTTTTCCTGATTTCAGACGACATACTATACTATGACTTTTTTTCACGATTTTGGACGACATACTATACTATGACGTTTTTTCATGATTTTGGCCGACATTCTATAGTCTGACTTTTTTCGTGATTTCGGACGACATACTATACTGTGAAGTTTTTACATGATTTTGAATGACATACTATTCTATTACGTTTTTTCTTGATTTCGGACGACATACAATACTATGACTTTTTTTCCTGATTTCGGACGACATACTATACTGTGAAGTTTTTACATGATTTTGGGTGACATACTATACTACGAAGTTTTTTACTGATTTCTGATGACATACTATACTGTGACTTTTTTTTCTTGATTTTGGACGACATACTATAGTATGACTTTTTTTTCCTGATTTTGGACAACATACTATAGTATGACTTTTTTACATGATTTAGGACAACATACTATTCTGTGACTTTTTTTCATGATTTTGGGCGATATACTATACTACGAAGTTTTTTACTGATTTATGATGACATGCTAAACTATGACTTTTTTTCATGATTTTGGGCGATATACTATACTACGAAGTTTTTTACTGATTTATGATGACATGCTATACTATGACTTTTTTTCATGATTTCGAACAACATACTATAGTATGACTTTTTTTCATGATTTTGGACGACATACTATAGTATAATTTTTTTTTCCCGATTTTGGACGACGTACTTTACTATGATTTTTTTTCATGATTTTGGACGACATACTATACTATGACTTTTTTTCCTGATTTTGAATGACATACTATTCTATTACGTTTTTTCTTG